GGTTTGATAAGTCAGTGACTTTTTGAATTTCCCGCGCAGTTACTCCAAATTCAACAGTGCTGCCGTCTACTAGTGGTCAACTTTTTAATTTTGAGCAAGCTACGTCGTTCAGTTGGTGTTTGATAGTCGTTCAAAGCAGATAGCCTCGTCAATTTTTACGAAAATGGAAAAAAGTGAATTTCTCCATATCTTTAGATTTGATAATAGAAAATAGTCGCAGGAGGCGGCTAAATCTGGAGAATATGCTGGATTGTTTGGACCAGAAAACTGTCTCCAGAACTCTAAACAAATATCGCATATAAAAATGTAGTTTTCAAATATCACTAGCGCTTTGAGTTTTAAGTCAATATGAATTTTAAAGGTTACGAAATATATTTTATATTAAAAATTAGAATAGTAAATAAAGATATATACAGTTTGCTTCTAGTTAAAAGTTGTAAAACTTTTGCTCTAATTTTTTGTATATTTTTGTTTGTAATAATTTTTTTTTTTAATTAATGAAAACTAAAATTGAATAAGTAAACCTTTAGAGAAAATAACACTTTTGAAATGAGCGATAAGCAAAAAGATCAAAATTTTTCACAAGTCCTTGATGATGACAATCTCATAGAATCAAATAACGATGTGCTTTTGCAAACAATAAAAATGTTGTTGCAAAATGAAAAAGTTTTGAAAACTACACATGGAGCAGCACTGACATTAGATAATGAAGGAGATGAACGATTCAAATACTTTCCTCATGTACCGTTAGAAAAAGCAATTAATAATTATCCTATCCGAACAGTTTTGAAAGCGCAACAATCGAAAAAATCGAATAGGATTAGGAAAAATCGTCCTAACATGACACAATTGCAATATCCTTTAAATCTGCAGGATTTCATTGTAAATTATTATATATTATAATATAAAAGATATAAAATAGTTTGAAAAATATTTAAAATATGATCATCTATTAAAATCATCTATTAAAATATGACCTATTTTGTTTAAATTTTATAGATAAACAGAGATTCTATGACATTGTGTAAATCAGCTGGTAACTTTAAGCTTAACAGTTCCGAACAAATGGATAAGAATATGGAGAACGATTTTAGGGTAAGATGTGAAACATAATGTGGTATAATATAATAAATGTTAAAAAATAATACAAACAAATTATACAGATTTCGGAAACAAATACTATTTCATCATGTGAATCTAACAGAAAACCTCTAATTTCAATTTTAGAGGAAACTGACAAAATTGATTTTGTTAACTCACAAGAACAACAGGTAATATAAAACATATATATAAAAAATTATAAAATATATAACAATAACAAAATATTTTATTTCTATTTTAAATTATTTTTGCACTATGAGAAAAAATCTATTTCAAATAGAAAAAAGAATTTAATAGAAAGGAAATTTTTTTAGTCTAAAGCTGAATTCTATTTCAATATGTCTATATGCGACATATATTCAAATATATCTAAATAAGATCTCTTACCACTATGTTGTCAGTGTATACTTAAATATATCGTATATGGGGTTTTTGTGGCTGTATGAGAATTTAAATGATAAAACAGAAATGTTGTTGGAAAATTTCTTCGTCTTGTGAAAATAGTGCGAAACCGACCAATAACTGTACGAATTACTTGCTCACGAGACCTATTATGTTGACCGTTAAATCAACGAAGTAGTTCTTTAACCGCTGAACTTCAGGAATAAATTCTTATTTTTCCATAATTTGGAAACATTTTTCTAGCCTTAAACGATTCATGATGAATTACCAGAGCTTACTGAACGGAAATGTCAACACAGTTTGACATTCTCAGCTGTCAAACCATAGTTATTGTTATCGATATTTCTTATGCAGCTTAAAAAACACCCTATAGCATATATTTTACATCTGTTACTTTTACTACATATACTACTTTTCAATGGAGATAAGAAAAAAAAATAGGAAAAATGCTTAAACTAACTATGATTCTGTTAAGAATACTAAGACTATAGCATATAGTTTATTTTTCTTCTCAATATTTTCTAATAAAACTGTATCTTTTAAGGAATTTTTCGAAAAAACACTGATTGCAAATCAGAATAACAATAGTCTTTTAAAAGCAAAACGGAGCAAATCATTTATTATGTCAAATTCAAAAATAACTAAACTATATGATGAGTTTATCAGAGATGACACAGAGGATTTCAATTCTCCTATCAGGATTCGAAACACTTTTTTAAACAAAAGTTTAACTAAAAGTGAAAATTCAAGTCTTTCGGAGAGGAACTCAGGCTTTCTGAAAGCAATTGCAATAATCAAGAAACAATGTTCATTTTGCAAGAAAAATTTTAGAAAATTGATTACTGAGCACATAATCGAAAGATTCGAAGCAATAGCAAATAAATTCTTCCTAAGGGATCTGAAAGTTCATATACAGCACGTAAGTTATGGTTTCATTCACTTAAGTCTAACTGATTCTATATCAGGACTACCAGTGCTCTGTGTTATAACAAATAATGCCGGACTTCAAGAAGCCACAGAATTTGGTTTATACGATAGATTCCAAGTATATCAAAGGACTTGTGATTTGTAAAAATTTAAGTGCTAAATATTTCTTGAATATAGTAGTTTTAGTAAAAACATATAATAACAAAATTATGTATTAAGTCCATTATATACGTGTATTAACAAATGTACTGATTTTTTTTCTAAAAAATGCTAAAATAAATATATTTATAAATTATTTTTAATAATGATAATAATAATTATGATAATGTATTAATATATATATTGTGGTCATAATTTAGTTGACATTGGTTCACAAGCCTATTAGGGGCACTACACGCCCAAATGCTCATAATCGGATATTTTGTGTGACGTACATAAAATCTTAGCACAATTTTAGGGGCTAATCCTGCGAAATTGGCATTTAATTGAAGTAAGCAGGATATTTATGCGTATTTATGGCAGCAATAAAGCGGCTTGTGAAATGATTGGCTTGTTTGGGGATTCGGTTTTGGTAATGAATGCATGCTAGTTCTGTGCGGAATTACGAAAGCATTTAATTTTTGATATTCAATACAAAGTAAATAAGCATTTATAGTGGCTCTCAATAAATTGAATGCAAATAATTTATGCAAAAAATTATCACATATACAAAAATAAAGTGTCCAATGACATATAACAATTTAAATATTTAATTTAGTTATATGGTACAATCCTTTAGTATATGTACATCATCTACTCATATACCACAACCATTCACCAAACTGGCTCCAATCCTATTAGGACACTTAGTAGTGCCTTAACGTAACCACAGAATATTACAACAATATGCATTTGTGACTTTTGTCGTAAAGTCTTTGTCTTATATTTGAGACACACCTACAACAAGTAAAACACTTTCCAACTGCACACGTACATGTCTCCATGGCATTCTCGGTACTGAAACTTTACAACTTCCTGTCAAAAGCATAAAATCGAAAAATTTTGAGATACAGAATTTGTGAAATTTTTAAATTTGCTCTGCACAGACAGTTGTCTTCTCTGTGCCAAAAGAAATTACTTATGCTTGCCTAGCTAACAACTGAGAAACTTACTCCTCTGGCATGTAACTCGGTAGCATATGAAATCTGACATTTGCTGTCATTTACTTAGCACTTCGGTGCAGTTTAGTTCTGCTAAGTTGGCATATGTGGCAACCTGGTGCGCTTATGTACACTCTGTGCGTCCCCTATTTCCATGGCACCGCAAGAGCTTTTTGTCACATTGTCATATAATTATTAAAATACAATAAAAGATGCAGATAAAAACAAAAAGTGTACAAGCACAATGCAGTAGAAAAATCCAAGGATATATTAAGTAGAAATAAAGTGACATTTACATTACTTTACATCAATTTGACACTTGTTTGAACAGCAAGACTTAAGCGTACTCAAGGAATTTTGAAACATTCTTCTTAACTTTGTCCTCGCACAAAGGACTTCTTTTGGAGTGCTCTGACAAATGCTCGATAGAATATGAAAATTTAATTAAAAATATTTTAAAAGTCTTTGTCATATTATTTTAAACTTCTTTCTTTTTCTTTTTTTTGATAAAATTTTTTTTTTTGTTGTTTTTGGTTAAGTGAAAAGTAAGAAGTGCAAAATTTGATGTTAACTTGACAGTTTCCTATTTATGTACGAAACTTTACACCCATCGCACTACAAACGAAGCTAAAAGTTGTTACTATCAACATCAACATCAAGATTAATTTTTAATTTTTCTAGACAAAAAAGTAAGCTTTTATTACGTTTTTTTGTAACTTTTTAATATCCTTTTATGTTTTAAGAGCTGTCAGTTCTTGATGGCACTAGAAAACGTTGAACAATTATTGCAATAAAAAAAAATTGGTATCTTTAAAAATATTATACATTACTTACTCAACTTTAGTTTATATACTATCTTAATATTTCTTAAAAAAAAATTTCTCCATAAAAAAATGATTTATCCAAGTATGAGTCTCTTGCCGGTTATCAAACTTGTATTATTATTCCACTGGTTAGTAATACTGCTCATGATAAGAGTACGAATGTCAATTCCTAATGGTATACAATCATTTGTTTACGAGAAATCTTCAGTGAAATATGGTAAACAAACAAGCGTCGTCGAATCATTCTCCATCTCCATTACGACAATGCAAAAGCTCAGCTTACACATCACGTCTAAGAACAGACATTTTGAACAATCAAAAAATCGAATTGATGGATCATCCACCGTACAGTCTAGTGCCTGATTTAGGACCCAATGACTATTTCTTGTTCCCAAACGTCAAGAATACATTACGTGGACAATGAGTTTTGTTGGCGGAAGAAGCAATAGCCGACATTTTAAAGCCATGTTTTGGTGGTGTCTGAAGGAGATTGAAAAAAATGCATGCAAAAATGCATTAATCACAAAGGAGAATACTTCGAGAAACAATAAACAATTTTTAATGACAAATTAGTATATTTTTATTATTAGATTTAAAATACAAATAGTGAGCCTCGTATAGGACAGAAAGAAAATTTCTACATTTTGATCTACCAAAAGTGCTAAGTCACACAATCTCCACAATCTGTCGATTTTCAACTTAAATAAATAGTAACGAGAAAATAGATGTTGTACAAAAAAAGTGGGACTACAATTTTTAGTTTCAATTTATCGTCACCAAGTAGAACAGTGTCTCAAAATAAAAATTACACTATCAAAAGTCGGTACCACTAGAAAGTTTAGAATAAAATTTTCTTTACAGTTTTTTGAGAATGGCTTTCGAATGTGTTTTGAACGAAAGATCACAATGGAAGATCAAAATTCAGTATTTTCTGAACTAGTAGAGATACGAGAATTAAATTTATCGTAAATATAGGTTTGGAGATGGCTTACTTACTTAGACGCTGCTATCCATTGTGATACTATAAATGGAACTATAATGAGGACTTGAACATTAGTGAATTATGGAATCATTTTTAGTTCCTAAAAAATGCAGAATGTCTCTAACTTTAGCACTGAAAACTTCTGTGAGAAAGCTAAACACATAATTACCTAAAACATTCACTTAACTTGCTCATCTTTCTGAACTCCACAACTTCTGCAATACTCATTACAAAGTATTATATGATTAGTAGCGTATCAGCCAAACAACTAGTGATCGATTATACAAGTCACGATCTTATACATATGTTGTCTTGGTAGGCAAAGTAGTTCTTTAATTTTTTCCCAACTAATTGCGTCCACATTAACCTATGCATCAGGCAATAACGCTTATCATGATAAATTAGTCTTTCTAATCTCACCGTTCTTAAATTATTATTTAAAAGGAATAATCATATTGATGTTGTGAAAGGTTATACTTAAAAGAAGACATTTTTTTGGTAGCTATAAATTTCTTCCTTTATCTCATTCCGCATATAGTACAGAGGTTGAGAATATATTAATTTTAGAATCGTTAAAGTAAGTATATTGAAATTAGGAGATATTAAAGTCAAAAATAAAATAATTCCATTACTTAATTTCCATTTTATGAACAATTGTTACTGAGATGGAATACATTACTTTTAGCATCATTGAAATAACTATATTAAAAATAAAGTATACTACAGTCAGAAATAAAATCATTCTAACTTCTAAACTTCAGTTCCTTTACTGCTGTGTGTTCTGCGAAATTATTGAAGAACCTAACAATGTACGCATTTACCAGTTCAAAAAGGCATCACTTAAAAGTTTAAACCGCTTAGTTTGCTCATTACTTACATATTTAAGATTAGTTCTATTATGAAAATATATTTCCTTAATGAATACATGTGTGTACTATAAGTATTAATTTCTATTAAGATTATAAGATTTGTGAAATCTCAGCCAAAATTTTCCCATATTTATATGCGAACATGCGCCACGTAATTTATGAGAATGACTAAATATTTGGTTCGTTATGAAGTTATCGAAGCACATACGAGCTTTGCTCTGCCAACACTTGAGATCTTCTTCTCAAGTCGTTTCGTGGCTGAAGCGTTTATATGCGGTGTTGCGGAAAAGAAGATAATTTCAAGAAAATACAATTTATGGTTACTACGCCAAACCAAGCCAAACCAAACCAAACCCAACCAAACCAAAGTGAACCAAACTGAACTGAACGCAACTCAACTCAAGTTAACTAAAATCGCTGCACTGAAAACTGAGATAATATAGGAATTGTTAAGTGCTTCCAACTAAAACTGGCTTAAAATTTGGGTCAAAGTGGTATTTTAGCGATTTATGTGTTAAATGAGCTCACAAAGGAAAACAATGTGAGCTTTCCCCAGTATGCCAATGAACACGAAATGCAATTAAACACAAATTATGGCTGAATTCAAAGTATTAAAAATTTCAAAGAAATTTAATTAAATGAATTAAAATCAGTATTAATAACTTTGCAGAGAACTCATTTGATAACTCAAAGTACGCTTATATATGCGTATGTAACTACTAGCAACTGCCAATTAAAAGTTGCTAGTTATTAACAACTTATTTTACAAAAAAAAAAGCACAACCAGAATGAAAAGCATGGAAAGATGGAAAGCATGCTTATTAGGCACAGCGAAACTGTCAAGACTTCAGATATTTTAAAAAGCCAATTGACATACACCTGTTCCGTCATACTAAGGAGCAAAAAACGCAAAAAATCATTTAATAGTCTATATTAGCAGAGTGACACTGTCAACAAGGCAAAAAAATATTTGATATAACCGACAAGTCTTAATGAATGCGGCAACAAAGTAAACGAATACCATTTTAATTAGCAGACAAAAAAGTATCTGTATCTGACTACATGGCTTACATCATTTACATGTGTGCAGCTGGATACAATAGGACGCAACTGTCGCATATGCAGTAATGCAATTACATGTCAAGTTGTACGCCAAGTACGTGAGTTCATTTGACAACCGCTTTGACAATGCATTTCAACTGCAACGAAGAGAAGATTTTCAGTCCTTTTTCTTCTTTTTACGAGTATTACCGCTTGCGGTCAGAGTTGATGAATTTCACGTTTTCAGTTAATCAAGCCGAATATGCTAATATGAATAGAAGATACGTGATCGAATTTTAACTCATGCCAAAAAACAAATATTCATACGACAGATGGATTG